CTATCTTAACTCAACCTTTCTCTTGTGATTCATACTTTGTAAATTCATATCCATTATTAATTCTCATACTATACAGATTTCATCATATTAATAAATCAAACTATACTATAGTCATACACCTTTCATACGTATCAAAATCAACATGCATTTCAACCAACAGAAAACATATTTAATATCATTGATCGTTCATAGAAGCTCAATCAGCATACTTTTCATGCATCCAATTCATATCATACAACATGCACGTATAAATTAAATTACTAAGCTTCCCTTACCCGGATTTGTGAGTGAAACGTCCTAATGCAAGGGTATGGTTCGCCCTCTTACAGCTTTCTATCCTCAGATTCACTTAGTCTAATCACCAAAATAAGAAATAACTCAGATATATAACCTATGCATGAAACCAGAACCTGGTTTCGCATGAAACCAAATGGACGAACGGTCAGAGACAAGAACTTACCAGTTCAGATCCCAAATCTGTTCGGTCCAGAATGACGCTCACGTCTCAGGAATTGTTTCTACGGTTCTGAAACGTGATCGGAGAGGAAGGTGATGAGTTACAGTAGAGAGAATGTGAACTGGTTCTAGAGAGAAGGTGGAGAAAATGGAGAAATCAGTTTTGAGGAAGAAGGTGAGTGCATGCAGAGAATGGGAAGGAGTGTTTCAGAAAATTCAGTTCTCTTCCCCAAGTCAACCGGACGTTCTCTCACACGCGGACACCTGTCTTCCACTACTGTTTTCAGAATGTTCCAACGTGACATATGGTAGACGCGCAGCAAAGAATGTGAGTGCGTTTTTAATAATACTGAGCAGTGACGTGGGTGCATTAATTGAGATTTGACATATATTTGCAGTGTTAATTATCTAGGGTCTCACATTTAACAATTTCAATAAATCATTATTCTTTCTATTAATTTTTACATAATTATTAAATTAATCAAAATAATAATCATTGTTATTATTTAATAATCAAATACATAGGTTTTTCAATTTATTATTAAATTGGTATTTAATTAAATGTGTCAACAAAATAATATCCACAAAAATATTGAACATCTTTTTCATAACAAATACATTAAGAATTTTTATTTATTATTATAGTAACCTAAGACCATTCAACCATATGGAGACACAATATAAAACAAGTAAGCATATATGCAAACATAGATGGCTAGGTCTAAAAGAGAATTGTATATTGCGTTATACATTGATGAGTATGTGTTACTCAATATTGTACATTTTTATCAACATTTAATTAATCAACTCAATATTTGTGATTCATGAGAGGAGCCATTGACAAGTGATGGTAACCATACCAAGACAAACCTAAATTGTATGTTTTGTTCCCTGCATAGGAAGATGAAATCTAACTTGAAATCCTTGTTACAAACGTAAGTATTACATTATTTCATATCAATTCATTTTGATATTAATATATCAACTTACGTTTTAAATGTTTCAAATGATTCAAATTGGTTTAGAGTTGTGAGTAGGCCTAAAGGACAACAAATTGAAATAATCTATATGTTGGCCTTCATTGATATTTAACTTATTAATTTTCATATGTGAAATTTAGACTATCATATTTAACTATTTTCTTTGCCATATTTAGTGTAACAAGCAGTCAAATTCTTGGGCATGCGGGTACTACATAATGTCATGGATGAAGATCATTATCCGAGCAGGAATTAGAGATAATTGGATTGAGGTGATAATTTAGCTTTGAAATCTTACAAATCACATTCAACCTTGAACACTAGGAGGAAAATAATAGTTAAGTTTTCTTGTTTTTGCAGCGGTTCAACAATCCATCCCCATTCACAAATGTCGCAATCAGGAAGTTACGACAGGAATGGACAACATATTTTCTAGAGAGATGGAGTTAGACTACAATAGTTTACTCAATTCTTTTTGTTTTGATATTAATAGCTTTAGTTTTTAATTTTATTTGTCATAGTTGTAGTTATAGTTTGAATTTTGAAAAGATGAATTCTGGATATATCAAATACAAACACTGGTTTTTTGATTTTTAGGTGTGGTAAAATCGAAAAAACGAAGCTTTTATATAAAAAAAACACTACAAAGACGTCGAAAGATACATTTCTTGATGCTAATTGACGTCGAAATTCGAGGAATGCATTTTTCGACTTCAAATCCCTTACAATGCCACTTCAGGGGAAAAATTTCGCTAAACAAAATGGTGTGGCTCAACGATATTGATGTCGGGGAATATATATTCAGATGTCAAATCTCCCTTTTCATTTTACAAAAACCACCCTTGGATCACCGCTAAGCGCGAAGGAGTTTGCTCTAGGCTCCATATGATGTCAATATACATATTTTTTCCGACGTCAAAGGACGTCAGTGGTATTTTCCAACGTTAATTAATGTCTCCTGATATGACATCAATTTATTTTGGGACGTTAAAGTCCGAAAAACACCGACATGAAAACTCTTTTTTACACTAGTGACTATTTCAAATAATTTTTACCAAAAAATATGTTAGTCATAAATATTATTATATATTACTATTACTATTAAGAATAATTTAATAATTTTTTATTTATTTATTAAAATATTTTCTTTAATCTATCACGAGTCAAATTCTTTTCAAATTTTTATAAATTTTATTTTCAAATCCACTCTTTATATCTTTAAATTCCTTAAAAGAACAATAGACACTTTATTCTAAAATTTCCTCAAATTTATCCATTTATTCATTCTGAATTCATCATAAACATAGCCTAAAGATATTCTCTTATTCTATACTTCATTATACATCTTTATACATCTTTACTTCGTAAGTTATGGTATTTGCCAGGGTGAAATAATATTTAAAGATATTTTAATATTGGTTATAAAATATAATTAATATATGGACGAGTAAAGATATATTTAAACATTTTAAATTATTTAATATACCAAGTTCATAATAATAATAAAATAATTGAAAAGGAGAAAATGACAGAAAGGAAAAAACAAATAAAGTTGATTTAATTTAAAAGTTATAAATTTTAATATTGGTTTAATAGCCAATTTAGTCCCACTTTGGTTGAAAAATCTCAATTTAGTCCCTCGTTATAAAAGTGTTTTACATTAGTCCTAACTTTTTAAATAGTGGGTCAGATTGGTTCCTTTCTTTAAATATAAGTTAACGAAATTAATGGATGATGATGTGACACAGCTTAAAGCTGATGTGTTAGATTGGTCCCTCGTTAGCTTTAAGTTGTGTCACATCATCATCCATTAATTTTGTTAACTTATATTTAACAGAAATGTCCAATCTGACCCACTATTTTAAAAGTTAGAACTAATTCAAAACACTTTTATAACGAGGGACTAAATTGAGATTTTTCAACCAAAGTGAGGACTAAATTGTCTATTAAACCTTTAATATTTTGTGCTTCGCTCACTCAGGGGGCATGTTTTCCGTTTTCACCACTGCCACTTCACTAAACACAATTTCGTCTACTTGGGCATTGCAGAGATGGTGTTGCCACTTGCTCTGTTTGGTAACTGTTGGTGTTCCTGTTCTTCTACCATCTTCTGTCCATTCCCACTACCAAACCCACCCTCTCGTTATTCTTCAACCTTTCACACTAAGCTTCAGCCTCAACCCCAATGCTCACTCGCTAAAATCCACGTCAAACCCCAACTATCAAACCGCGACTCCATTCGTCGCTGTCGCAGCACCAATTCCCTTCCCATTGCTGATGCTCAAGCCGGTAGGTAAACCCCTAACTTCTCAGAGGCAATTTCTCAAACACCTTTGTTACTGACTCACTTGCGCTCTTCGTGTTTTCAGCGTCGTTCTTTGCTCTGTTTCAAGAAATTGGGATTGGCTTTGAGGAAACTCGAGTGCTCTTCTCCAACAACCCTGACCTAACCTCTGTGTCTGTAGAATCATTGCGCGCTCGCCTTAGTTCTCTACGATCTCTCGACTTCGACCCTCTCGCACTCGGCAAATTAATCACAAAGCGTCCAACTGTCCTAACAGACAACCAAATTGACCCTTTGTTGACCTTCCTTCGAGACGAATTGCAAGGAAAACTCGAGAAACCGCGACTGAATCGCCTCTTATCTTCTACGGAACAAAATATATTGGCGAGTTTTCCTCAGAAGGTTCGATTCCTCGTTGACCGGGGAATCCCCGTTGACCAGGTTGTGCATGTGCTTAACAAAGTGAGTTTGCCAAAGGTCTTGTGTGGCAGGTCGGTTGATGAAATCGATAGAACTTTAGCGTTCTTCGAACCCTTTGGTGGCATTGATTTGATTCTTAAACGCCCTCAAATTTTGAACCATGATTTGGATGCTCAAATTATTCCAAGAGTGAATGTTCTGATGGAGCTTAGTGATGGAGATGTGGATAGTGTTGGGAAGGTGTTGGTTAGGTTTCCCCTTTTTTTGAACTATAGTGTGGAACATGTGGAGGGACATGTTGGGTTTTTGAGTTCTTTTGCTGAGCTAGATTACAGACAGATATTTAGGATAATACAAGTGTATCCGGCTGTTGTTACTGCCAGCAGAGAGAGGAAACTGCGTCCAAGAATACAGTTTCTCAAGGACTGTGGGTTAGACTCAGATGAAATCTTCAAGTTCTTGATTAAAGCGCCCACATTTCTCAGCACTTCATTCCGTGAGAACATTGCATATAAGCTGGTGTTGCTGGTGAAGATTGGGTATAGGTTCAGGACAAAGGACTTCTCAGTGGCGGTTAGGTCTGCCACTAGGACAAACAGTATGAACATGCAGAAGGTGATTGGTATGTTCTTGAATTATGGGTTTTCATGTGAAGAGATCGTTGCCATGAGCAAGAAGCATCCACAAATACTACAGTATAATCACGCTTCTTTGGAGATGAAGATGGAATACTTGATAGAGGAAATGGGGCGTGACACTGAGGAGTTACTGGTTTTTCCTGCATTCCTTGGGTACAAGTTAGATGATAGGATTAAGCATAGGTATGAAGTGAAGAAGAGTGTTAGAGGTGCAGGAATGTCTATCAATAAGCTTTTATCTGTTTCCGAGGAGACATTCACTGGCAAACCAAAAAAGGCCCATGCATAGCGGAGCTTCAGTAATATAAAGGTGAATAGTCAACCTATTTTCTTTCTTCTGCTTCAGTTTTGATGCCCCTTTTTGTTTCATTCCTTGTGTCTCAAAGCCTTATCCAAGGAACCGTAGTAGGAAGAGTAGTTCTACCACTTCTTCAGCTCTATGAATTCATACCGGGCGTTAAAAGAGAGGGGAAATCTTGTAGTGTGATGGGTGCAATCATGTATAAAAACACATTTCATGCATTGATGTTTTAAAAGATACATTTCTTTATTTATGGGTTAAATATCTTTTTTACTTATTTGACACAAATTTAGAATTTGTTTTCAATTTAAACTTTGATATATTTTTACTCATCAAACATTAAAAATTGAATAGTTATAATATTTTTAATTCAATTCAATTCAATTTTTTTACATATCGTATTACTTTCTAATTAACGTATCAAATAGTGTAAATATTAAATTTATTTATATATTAATTGATATAATTAGATTAAAAAGACTATATTTATTTATGTTTTGATATCGTAAATATTAAATTGTTTAATATATTAAAAAAATTCAATAATTAGATTTAAAAAGACTATATTTATATTTATTTATGTTTTGATGACCAAAACATATTAAAGATTTAAAAAACAAATAAATTTTAATTTCGTGTATGTAAAAAGATAACTCATTTTTCACTTGGCATATGTGGATATACTAAGAGCTATTGGTTGATTTTGTTGAGGTGTTCATGGATAGGATTTGTAATAAAATAAATTTTCAACTAATTAATTTTATTGATTTAGTTTTATTCATTTTTTTTAAAAATTAAACATGTTTTAGAATAAAGGGTCAAGTTCAACAGTCCAACGTCAAGTAGGTCACTTAAGGTCCAAACACTGTCTCGAAATCCAAGTCCTCTCGTAATTGCTTGTCAAAATTGTTCGAAAGATACTTATAGAAGGCACTCCAATGCTAAAATCAACCCAACGTTTGATTGTTCAAGTATTAACGATGCAGTAAATGTATATCACCTACCTCTTTACCTCAAACCTGTATTTATAGATCTTGGACTGGATTTTTGATTAATATTGGCCTAATTGTGATCCAATTGTGAGTAATCACAGTTTACCTCAAAGTTGGTAAGCATTAAGGTTAAATGTCTTAACCATCGACCAATTGGTTCTACTCCTCGACCGTTCGGTCCAAATGGTGACTTGTTCATGGATTTGAATGACGAATGACCATCTGATCCATGGCTGATCGGGCAATCATACTGTACAAAACATAATCTACATTGAATTAACACAATATGGAACAAATTAGTTTAGTTTGAGTCAATCATATTATTTATTATATTTAGGTGTAATTTTATTTGAAGAAAATAAAATATATTATAGGTTTAATCATTCTAATGGTCTCCATTTTTGGTTTTGAATTGTAGATCGACCTCTCAATTTTCTTTTGCCTCAATTGGGACCCTAATTTGGAAAAATTGATGCAATCCTGCCCTTGCCTTAAATTGACTAAGCGACATTAGGAAATGACGACGTGGATATGTTAGGAGATGATGAGGTGGACGATACGTGGCATTTGACCTTCTTCTTCACATCGTTTCGCCATCTACTGATAGAAAGGGAGACCGCTACACCACTGATAACGATTGAATTTAACATTATTTGATACTAAAAACACCCTTTTTGACTTAGAAACTAACTTCAAACCATAGTTTTGATGAATAAGAGAGTTAAAGGTGAATTTAATGGTTTTGTGCTAGATTTCCTTGTTTTCAACAGGATTTGAGATGATTTGGAAGAAGGGTTGAAGTAGTAAGGAGTTGGAACTCAGGAAGAACTGAAAAAGCATCAGAAAGGAGGATCGCAGTAGCGCTGAGCGCCACTTTAGGGGCCCTCAACGCCAGAGTACACTGTCTCACGCTTGGCTGCCCTTTTTTGGAGCCCTCAACGCAGGATACCCCTAGCTCGCGCCTGGGCGCCCTTTTCAGGGGTGCTGAGCGCAACTTCCTGAAGTCGCACCACACTTGCTTGCCTTCTGAGTTGACCCTTAGCGCCAATTCTAACCCGCACACCGCCTGGGCGCCCTAAGTAGGGCGCCGAGCGCCGGCCTTGTGGGCTTCGACCCGTTTTATGTTATTTTTATGTTCTATTTAAAGACTTGGACATCCTAGGGTTCACATCTTTGGATGAAACAGGCAAAAAAACACACTCTTTGATCCCTCGGAGGCGGATTTGGATACAAAAGCTCCTATCTTCAATTTCTAGGATTTTATCTTTCATTCCTTTTCCATTATTCATCTAGTTTCACCATGTCAATGGTGAACTAAACTTTATTTGTTGTTGGGGAATGATGTAACCTTTGTAAACTCTCATATATTGAATTGATTCTTGATTATATATGCTTCTTTCATTAATCGTTAGGATAATTCTTCTTCGCATAATGCTTGCTTTGTTTAATTCATTCTTTAGCATGATGTATGATTTGCATGAGTATTGGAAGATATCTTACAATTCATGATCTAGAGAATTATTCCCAAAAGCAGTATTGCTCAGGAATGGGGGTATGAGTTCTGATTGTCTTAAGCTTATGATCTTCAGATTTAATTATTAAGAATGCTAGGAATCGTATGAACTAATAGTTAAGGATATGCTTTCTTCGTCGAGGAATTGGGTTTTAAGTATTTTAGATAGTGACATTAACATTAATGAAGAAGTATAATTCGTATATGCATGAGAGTAAACTAGGTGAAATCTAACCCCAACAACATATTCATTCCATAATATCAAATTTGTTCATCTTTGCACTTTTGTCCAATTGTTCAAATTGCATGCATATCTACTTTTCAGTATTTGCATTCTAAACCCAAAAGAGTTTGTTTTCAAGTCTTATTTAATCAAGAAATCACATAACTGTTTAGGCCGTGAGTCTTTAGGGAAACGATACTTGGTCTTACCATGTTTATTACTTGATACGATTCGGTACATTTGCTGGAGTCTTAACAACCACCACCTGCAACAAAACCTTGCGACACCACAACCAAGATCTATCTACCGCAAATTGCGCCTCCCATCAGCATGAAATCTCACGACCAATTTCCAAGGTGTCACAGATTACTCAAAAATCGGTAAAATTTCAAACTTTAACATAACGCGAAAACATATTTTCAAAAACCTCAACATTTAAACGTGCATAAAATATAATAGTTCCAAAACATTTGTCCAATGAAAATAATGAAGGAAATAAAATGACTTCAATTACATTGTCTTAAAGTTCAAATGTAATAACAATGAATAAAATCTCAAATCTGTCCCCCGTAATCTCTCGAATCTATCATGTCTCAGCACCATCTCCAACATCATTTTCTCACGTATAACACATTATACGATCATGCCAATAATATCATTCAATAACATACAAACACGTATGAGGTAAGCTACTAGTAAAACAATCATAATAAATGATATAAACACACTGATTAAATCAAGAATAATCAAATACCTCATACATAATAGTAATGACAAGGAGATTCCTAATCCACTAACATGACAATTCAATCAAAACAAATTACTCGATCCTCGATCCTCAATCTTAGGTCCTTGATCTCTAACTTTTGATGTCATCACTAACATCTTTCACTTAGACCCTTGGTCTATCCACTCATTAGCACCTATGTTACTACTTACTATAACTTTTATAGTAATGTTGCTGTCACATAACATCACTGATAACAATTGAAAAACTGTTATTTTTATACTTAATTTTGACCTTAAAGACAACCTTTATGACGTAGAAATTAGCTTGGAATCATGTTTTTTTATTAAGTTTTGGAAATAAGAGAGTTGGATGGGTTTTATGCTTGGTTTTCCTTGTTTTTGGAGGTTTTAAGATGAATTGAATGAAAGAAGTGAAGTAGCCAGAAGTTGGACTCAGAAAAGGAAGAAAAAGTGCACAAAAGAAGAGTCGTAAGTACCGCTCAGCGCCACTTTTACCGCTGAGCGGCACTCTGAAGTCCCGCAGTCAACGCTGAGGGGCAAAACTGCAGCTGAGCGTCAAAATAGAAGCTGAGCGTCAAAATAGAAGAATCACACTTATCGCTGAGCGCCATTTTATTGGGTCTTGGGCCAATTTTCTGTAATTTTTAGGAAGCTATATAAGGTTTTAGCCGAATTAGGGTTAATATCTTTGGACATAAAGAGGCGAAATCACACTTTCTTCACCTCTTGGAGGAGGATTTTGGATGCTCAAGCTCTATTCTTCAACTTCTAGGGTTTTATCTTTCATTCTTTCATTGTTTTTCATCTACTTTCACCATGTCTATGATGAACTAAACCTTCATTGTTGTTGGGAAACCGATGTAATCCTTTGAAACTCTCATGTATTGAATTGGTTCTTTAATCTATATGCTTTCTTTCATTAATTGTTAGGGTTTTTCTTCTATACTCTATGCATGTTTTGTTTAACTCATTCAATTGCATGATCATTGATGTTATTTGTATGGAAACATATAAGTAAATCTAGAACTGAAGAAATTCTCCCAAGAGCAATATTGCCTAGACATAGGGATAGGATGATTGGTTGCCTTTAAGCTTCTGTGCGAATGTAATGCATGAATAATTGCTAGGGAGACAAGACATTGTAAACTAGTGATTAGGAGTAGGCTTTCTTCACCGAGACATCGGGTTTAAGGTAAATTAGAAAGTGGCATTAACATTAATGAAGAAAGTTGAATTCTTGAATACATGAGAGTTGATAGTATGAATCTGAAACCCCAACAACATAATCATTCATATTATACATCAACTGTTTTTGCATCTTTTAAGTCTATTGATCAAAACTTTGCATTCATGTTTATTTTTCATAGTTCAACAATAATATTTTCGTTTACAATTCTAAGATAATCAACAAATCACATAATTGTTTAGGTTGTGAGTCCTTTGGTAAACGATATTTGGTCTTACCATTTTATTATTACTTGATACGATTCAGTACACTTGTCGAGGTTGTAGATACACTATCATCATGACTTTTCCAGTCATAAACAACATTATGAGCATCACCGTACCATAAACACCACAGTGGAAAGAATCAATCACACTCTTGTACCCAACCTCACCTATTGTATCCGCTCCTACAACCCCATCTATATATTCCCCATACAGATACATTCGAGGTAAACAATACATATTCACCACCTTTATCTGATTTAATCCTCTTAATTTTCTTATTTAATTAATTTT